CCCCCGCCCCAGGTCCCGCACGCTGCCCCGAGCCGCGGGGGAGCAGGGGGCAGGCATCGCTGCCCTCGCAGCGCCGCGGGGGAGCGGGGACGGGGCCGGGACTTGTGGAGCTGGGTGGGCTCGGGCTGTGCCCTGGATTTCTCCCTCTTCCTCCTCGCCCAGCCGCCTCCTGTGTCAGGCAACTCGCCTCCTCCACTTCCTGGAGCCCGTCCTGTCACCTGCGGTTGAGCAAAGTGGCGGAGAAAAGCCCAGCTGTTCCGGCAGCAAGTGGCCGGGGCTCCCCGCATGGTCGGGGCGGTGTTTCCCCTCCTGTGTGCCCACGGTGGAAAGGAAGGCAGGCGCTGAAATCCTCCCCCACTCCCTCCCCTCTCACCCTCCTTTCCTCTCCTCTCATAAACTTCCCAGTTGATGGCATCAAGCAACATCTCTCCCCAACCCCCGAAGCTGCTAGCTGGGTGGGTGCGTCGCGGAGGGGGGAGTGGATCTATGAGCCAAGTCGTAAATGTTTGCTTTCCCTGTTTCCAAACCTGCGAAGAAGTGCGCGCGTTGCCGTGAAGTCCGAAAGTGCCTGAGCAAGTAAATCTATCAGCGGTCGCAGCTCGTTAATTAGGCTGCGCGTCTTTCCAGCAGCTAAAAAATTAATTACCATCTTCAAATGTCATCCATCACGGGCGCAGCAGAAACTTGGTTGTAAATCTGGACTGGGTTAATAACAGGCAGAGGGGAACCGGTCGTTTTTATAGCTTGTGGGAGTGGAGTGCAAGTGGGCCGCAATGTGTTTTTAACTGATAATATCAACATTCACTTGAGCACTTTGGCAAACGTTTAAGGGGGGGAGGACTGGGTTCCTGGTTTGTCAGCAGAGCTGCAATGCTCCCGTCTCCAGATCGGGAGGGGTCGCTCAGGTGTTGCAGTGAGCACCAGATTGCAACAGCAGAAGGATCCTGGTGGCAGGCAACTCTGAGGCGTTTGCAAGGATTCGCCGGAAAAATGGCCAAGAACCAAAGCTTCAGGGACCATATGTCACATATAGGCCAGGCTTTAAATTTATCTCTCCCTTCTTTTTTCCCCATTTATTCTTGGAAGAGGCAAATATCAGAAGTTAAGTGATGTGAGGCCCATGGTGCAAGTCATGTAGCCAGTTCGTAGATCTGTAGCTACGGCAGGAAAATCCAGAGCTTTTCCTCTTTTAAAAAAAGTGTCATGGTAAAAATATATGTCCCAGCAGGTGGCAGCTAACTGGAACTAGAATAACTTTTAGTATGATAACAGGACATGGAAATTTATGGGCTGAAGACAATACCTGGTATCGGAATCGGAATCGTTAAATGTACTCTTAAGATGAATCCAAATCACCCTTTTAACATAATTTACTTTACATGCAGTGGACTCACACATTCACAGGCAATTACTAGACTTTTGCTGGCCAGTATTTTATGGCCTCAGGCTATTTCTGCTCCTTTTTTTAGTTCTAACAGTTTCACCTGTGTGTTTTGCTTTTGTATAACATATATTATATTACACAGTATAATTTATATATATTACCTGGTAGCAATATATATATATAGAGAGAGAGAGAGAGAGAGCGAGAGAGAGAGAGCGTGTGCGCAATATATTGCTACAAGACTGTTAGTGCGAAAGTGTAGAAAAAAACACGATGTTTGACAGAGAATTGAATATTCCTATTTTTGTGTCTGATAACTGGGATGAAGAGGCCAGAATCCCACTAGCACCAGTATCCGATAGCCCTGCTCCTGAAACTGATTGAACATCAGGAATTACAAGCACTATAGAGGCTCTATCAGGTCCCTGCGCGAAATATTATTTTATTAGCTGCCTCAATCCTTCAAATGTGTAGAGTACTAGGAAGAAGCGTATTAGGAGGTATCGCTCAGTTTTTATGCTAGATTATTTTAGAAAGGGAAAAAAGTTTTCTTTTTTATTTTGGAAATGTATTTTGTAAAGAGACAAGTGAAGCTGAGACCCTCTTAACAGAAGGGGATCTGAAGGTGGTGGAGTTTGATTCTTCAACTAATTGCATATATTATAAATGGTCTTTAGCTATCAAAGATAGGACTCACTAAATATTCAGATGCCTAAGAAAATGGGGGCCTTTATCAGAGAGGGATGACTGATGCTGATGAAAGCATTTTTGGTTTGACCACCACCTTCCTTTGAGAGCGGGGGATAGACATTTGTACGGTAGAATGTTATGTACTCAAAAGCGGTCCTATGAACTATCGCCAGTAAGGACACAGGCCAGCCAATCTAGTAAGGAAAAGAGCCGCTGTCTTTAAGACAGTGGATACAATATTTTAATTTCCTTTCGGTAGTGAGAAGCTATTGGAGGGAAAAAATATGTTTTGACACCTAAAATGATATATTGCTTCCGTACTACGTCTCACCACCAGTGCTGCGCAGTGACTGAGCGGTACTCTCCGTGGTGCTGAAAAAGTAACACAGCTCTTTAGCTCTACTCCATTTCAGTACGACAGTTCCAGTCGCTGTCCGTGGTGGTTATTGCTTTCCAGGTCAGTAATAGACCGTCATTAAGAGTGAAAGGAAAATTAACTTGAGCATTATGCATGCGTACATGTTTTGGATGGTAGAATGCTAGGTGTTTAACGATCAAAAGCATTGCTGATAGATTGTTTTCAGTTATTGTAGAGGAGCCTTGGTGTGCTGGGAGTTTTGTTCGTCTTTTACTGAGAGCTGGATAGTTCCTGGGTAATTTAGAATATCAATGTGAATAATAAATGGTTAAAATAGTCAGATTGCCCCAAGATATACGTTTATTTTAATCTATTGTTAAATGTGCTAACGTGAACAATGGATTTTAACAATTCACAAACTTACTCTAAAAATCAGGCGACCCAGAGTGCTACGCTTTGAGCATTCATAACCGAACGTGTAGGTAAGGATATCTGATCTGTTGACAAATTAAAACTGCTCGTAGTTATAATGGAGGTCAGCTCTGTTTCCCTTTGGACTAAGATAAAATATGAAAAAGTAGAACAGAGTGGATGAAACACCACATACAAAGAAAGAACATCTCAGACTGTACATTTTCCTAGGAGATATTCTAAGTGTGAACTGAAGGAGTCGCTAGATATCCTTGATTCTAACACTAGGTGTTCTTTTAAAGTGCTCCAATAGTCAAATCATTTGATTGAATTGCCTGCTAGACTGCAGAACTAGCCATTCATGATACTTATTTTTGACACTGCAGTTATGCCTCCATCTTAAAGAAAAAATCAATGGCGTTTAATAATCCCATCGCAGAATATAAATTTCTCTTCATCAGCCTTTTACCATATCTTAAGTAAATACAGTCAGGAGAAAAAAAATCAGTCAGCCCTAACCTTAGGAAGTTACTGTGAATTGCTAAGACTTTAAGGGGAAAGTATCACTAAGATTATAGATAATAAATCCAAATGTAATATAATTTATCCTACATGTCCAAGCTCTGTGTATATTTCTTAAGAATTAACCATAACTCAGGTCTCTATTGCTACACTTCTGTAGTATGTTTCTTCCGGCTGGTATCATTTAATATCTGTAAAACCAAGTTTGTGTTGTCTTCGTTTATGGAAAAATTCTCTCACTGATAGCTGTTTTTTCCAGCAATAAAGAAATGATGAATAACCAGGAAGAATATAGATTAATCTGCATTCATTTTCCTTGTGGGGTCCTGGGGATTATCTTTTAATATAAGTAATGAAACTCAAATAGCTCCAGGAAAAAGCTTTACTCTCCGGTTGGTCCAAAAGGGACGGAGACTTTTTACAATGTGTTTTCATGAATGCACAAAGATGCAAACACTCGATTAAAAATATCTTGATGGCTTTTCCAAGCAAAATCTGAACTATTCCAAAGAGTGCTTACACCTTAATTTAGGTAAAAGAGAAAAGTACATTGTTGCAGTTTTGGATAAAAACTGTATGCACCAGCCGCAAATTGGCAAATGCTATTACTCTTAGTAAAGATAGTAACGTAAGTAAATGTGCTTAGGTTACAGTTCCATAGTAACCATAGGTCTCAATGCAAGTGACGATAGGAACACTATCAGAATACCACACAGTATGGAGAGCTGAGCGTAAAAGAGAGAGAATCAGAATATAAACACATGCAAATCCACACATCATTCCGCCTTTCAAACAGCGTTGTAATTTCAAGTAAGTTGAGCGACATGAAAATGAAGGTCTGTCAATTCCACACCAGTAGATCTTTTTTAAAAGCACTACAATTTCCGCTTTACTTTGAAGCTGGATGTTCAGTCGGTCCGGTGCAACTTGCTAAAGACAGCCAGTGTGTTTACTACCGTGTTTACCTAAATGCATGCCTCAGGTGCACAAGTAAGAGAAAGAGAGTGGAAATATCGGGACCTTTCTAATTCCAGATCACAGTCTGACTTACATGACTTATTATCAGCCTTTGCAACACGTCCTCTTCCACAACTCCAAGGCTAAGTGACTTCGACCCAGCTAGTCAGCTATTAAAATTCATGAATTGATTTTTGGAGAACCGCACCCCCTGTCCAAAGCTGACTCTTTGTAAGGAAATACCGGTAGCTATTGTTGAAACCAAATGAAAAAAAAAACTAGAAATAATAATTTTAGGCACGTAAATAAACCCGAGTTGGTTTTTCAACAACGCTAGGCGATCAGATCGGTTGCATAATAGAAATAGGGAAGGCTGTCTGGCAGGCAGCCTTAAGAAGAGAAGAGCTATCTCAATTTCTCTCACTTAATCTTGGCTTCACGTCAGAAGCTGTGCAGCAGTGCAGTAGAATGGGAGCACAGCAAAAGCTTCGCCAGTAAAACGCCTGGTGCTCATTGACTCTCGCTATGTGGCGATACCTCAGCGATTTCTCAAGCTGGATTACCTATTGATTTTCCTCCTTTCTTGCCTCCCAGGTTCACCCGGCTGGACATTGTGTGTGTTTGGATTTCTCAAGGATTCTCCCCCGACTAACATGGATGTCCCACCATTCCTTGCAGTTGAAGGTTGCTCCTTGGCGCAGTGAATGAAGAACATGCAGGGATTGCTAATGGGTTTGGGAAGCGTAGACTCTCTCCTCTCTCTGTGACCATGCCGTGATCGTGTCTGAGGACCATCAATTTACGTTTCCTCATTCTTACCCTACCGGGGAGCCTGACGCTTAGAAGGGGGAAGTAAGGCAGCGCGTGTGCATAGAAACACCATGAAGATTTTTTTCCCGATTCTAACTAATCCAGTCTTCAGATGCACCATTAGACTCCTTCTTTGCTTACTGTGGATTGGATATTCTCAAGGAACCACACATGTATTAAGATTCGGTAAGATTTCCCGACACTTTTGCATGGTCCTGAATATTGTATTCGCGTGATTGTGTCAGAGGGAGGGTTGCTGGGGAAGAGCTGGGAGCTGCTGCTGCTGGAGTCAGGCGCCAAAGTCCTTCTGTATTTTGCATCCGGATGGCTGAAGCAGCGTGTTTTTGTGTCGAGGCAGTTTGCTGTATCATGATGATGATGAGAAGGAGGGGGATAATAATGGGGACAATGACCGGCAAGCGAGCGTGTTTGCCGAGGGTTCTGCAGAGTGATCAGAGCTTGCTGGCTCCCTCGTACGGTGCTTGGTTGTTTCCATAGCAGTGGAAAACGCGGCTAAAATAGCTGTTGATTAGTTAAGATCCGACAACTAGTTGTTAAGTTTCGCTCGCCTTCTGCCCCCCCCCCCCCCCCCCC